TGGAGCTGTGACCACAGCAGCAATGTCCCACTGTAAAGTTATCAGGACTCAGGAGATCAGTAGCACAGATGGGCTGATCCAAAGCCACAGCAACCCCTGCGCTTTTAGCAATGAGAAGTTAATGGGATGAAGCAGAGCTAAGATGAATCTGCTTGACTTGTCTAATAAAAGCATCTCAATACTCTTTTTCTTTTTTTTTCTCCTGGATTTCAGCATTCTTTTCCCAAAACAAAATCAAGCAACGTTTTTTTGGAACATGATCTGAAAAAAAAGGCACTTAGCATAGCCCTCATTTGAGAGAGTGATCATACCGTAGTAGAAAACAACAATAAAAATAACTTCTGACCCGACATGATAAGATCCTATACTAAATTCCACTGAAAGCTCCCAGACACTAGTACTCTGGACTAAAAAGGAATACCCTGTTATCGTATTACTCTGAGTCAGCAAGAATCCATTTTTACTAAAATAAGCATCTGTGCTAATCTATCTTAAATAAACAGTGATTCCTAGGATAATGCAAAGCCTTACTGCAAACCTGTACCTCCCAAAGGGCAGAGAGCAGGAAAGGAAAAGAGTGTAAGAAAACTCAATTCTCCATAGCAAAAGGGCAGAAAATGTTCAGACTTGTCAGACAGGCTATGACAGTGTGATAGTGATATCAAAGCCCATTTTTTTACATCAAAATAGGACATTTTTTCATTAGCTGAAGCAATTTGATGTGGACATGTTAGTGTGGATCCAATGATGTTTCTTTTTGTCCTGACTCCACAAATAACATCTAGTTTAATTTTCTTTTTATTGACAAGCCTCACTTCCAAATGAAGTTAATATTAACTTATTCTTTCTCTGACTGGTTATATTCAAATACTTCGGGCTTAGGAACAGGGAGAGGCTGAGTGACTGACTGTCTTTTGCTATTACAATGGCAACCTTCTTTACATCTCCACTTTTTCCCTATGGCAATTCAAAAAGCCCATATTAAATTTGCAGAGTGTCTTCCTGAAGTCCTATGAGGTGAGATAATCAAAAGATATAGGTATCTGATGAGTGTGTGCACAGTCAGGTAAAATATACAGGTACAGATGGTAGTTTTTATTGGATCAAGTGGTGTGGCTGGAAAAACAGAACAAGTTTTCAGGCATGCAAGCCCTTCTTAAGGTCTGAAATAGAAGCGGCAGTCTTCAAAGGTAAATACAAGCTGAGAACCAATGCTCAGAGATTAATTAAATATGTATCAATTAATCCTTTATGAAAGAAAAAGTATTTGGTAGCTTTGGAGAAGAAGGGATGATAAAGAGGAAGGCAAATGAGAGACAGAGTTAAACTAAGCTACTTATCATCTAAGGGGGAAAAAAGAGGCAGGTAGTTCATAGCCGGGGGAACAGAGCAGTTCGTGGTGAGTAGGAGGAGAGTCTAATCATAAAAGTCACATCTAGCAAGTGCGTGCTTCTTCATATCAAGTGGCTTCATGACTTTCAGTTCTCAGCCTCATTTCTAGAAGGTGGTTTTGGAGGTTATTTTGAAAAGAAAGACAATGGTACTTTGTGAGACACGTTCTCTGTGGGATTTTCCCGCTACAGCTTGCCCATAGGAGATCATTTTGGCACAAAATAATTGCTTAGTTTCACTCACACATTTACCATGAGGGCACAGGGTGAATTTACTTGTATTTCTAGAAATGCAGAGGTAGGATCTAGATAAATTCAGGGAGAGATAGTTGGGCCCCATTTTAGACTGTCAAGATCTGTCTTTCCCGTCTCATACAAGATCCTTTTGATGAGTAAAAGTGAATGAGGCTGGTGGGTGGGTGACCAAAGACTCCCCATCTCTGGCCATGGGAGGCAGAAATACTTGGTTGAAAATGGTGTATTTTAGGTTAGCCACCTAAAATATTATTCTATGGAATAAATATTTGAAAATGGAGGCTTAGTTCAAGCAGATCAGCAAGAAACCGAATGTTTAGTCAATGCTGTGAGCACCCTTCACTAACAGTGCATCCGTTGATTCTGCTCAGCCCACATAGACTTGTGGTGCTTTTTTGTTATACAAAGAAACTTCTAGGTGATTACAGCATTATTTTTAAGTGCCTTTGTCTTCAGGTAGCCTGAAATTTCTGTGAAATATAAAACTAACAGGACAAATTCAGGAAACATTACTGAGGAGAGAAATACTGGATATTTGTGTTTCATGTATGGAATTCAAATCAGAATACTTTGTAAAGAAACATGGACGGGTTTTATATTATGAAACTTAGCACAGTCTGTAAGCTGTAAAAGAACTAAATACTTCTTGATGACTAAAATGTCTCTCAAGTCATAATTATAAATCAGCATGCATGGGTACAAAAGATTGGCATCTCCATAAAGTGCTTGAAATTCAATATTTTTTACTTTACTGTGTCTTCTGAAAGTGCCTGCATATTTTATATTCCCCGAGTGCTAAAAATTGTCTCTGTACTTTATGTATTGTTGTTTGTAGAGCTCTATTTGCAAACAGAGTTAACTGTTAGTATTGGAGATGATATACAGGCTATATAACATGCCTGAAGAAAATAAATCTGGAAGCATAGGAGTGTCCTCAACTATAAATTTCAAGAACTCTGTAGACATTTCTTAACTTCATGCTAATTCTGTTAAGAATTTACCACAGCTGTGTGGGATGCCTTCTTGTAGCTGGCAGGAAGGAAAATAGCTCCAGACTCTGGTTAACATGCACGTTTCCATGGCTGTGGCTCCTCTTTGTGCAAAAACCCTTCATTCGCTCGAGTCAGTGGGATGTTCAATCAGTGGGCTATAACCCACACCGTTGCCAGGTGGCATCTGCTGGCACATGGTCCTCAAGGCAAGATCCGCTGGAGAACCAGCAGCGCCCAGGCAAGGGACAGAGTGACCTGGCTGCTCGTGGCTGCTCTGCTGCAGCAACCTGCATCTCACATCAACTCGTTCTTTCCCCAGCAGTTCCAGGAGGTGCTTTTGCCTCCCTGGAGACTAAAAAGCAGTTTGGGAAGCACCGATGCTGTTCTCAGAGGAGCCCCAAGCAGCAGGTAGCACAGTGCGTAACTCGAAATGAGGCCTCCCCAGCACAGGAGGCACCGTGTCATTGACAGCTACGTACTTCTGCTTTAGAGCATCTAGCCTCTTGCCCTCATCTTCAAAACAGCATTTTTTGATTAAGAGATGGACTAGACAAAATGTTTTCTCTAGTATGATACAAACAATGCCCAAATTAAGCTTGAAATCAAGGGCCATGTGGAATTGCTTGATCTCTTTTCAAAATATTTTCTGTAGGGCAACAACTGCCTCGATACAGACTTCATTTCCGTACCATGGGGTTACATTTCTGACTGAAGCAAGCTTGCTAACTTTGCAGCAAACCAAAGGTGCATGGATTTTATACCTGAGCCTAGCGTGTGTCTAATGCAAAATGGACATTCCTCTCATAAAACTGATTTTGTTTTGGTTTGAAAATATAAATTTACACTGAGCTTTGATAGTAACTAAAAGATGTTGGTAGTATCAATACTTATACCAGAATAAGTTTGATCTTTCCATGCATGGTTATTTCAAAGAAAGAACACAGGTATTCCACAGTATAAATTATTTGTATTTTCTCTGGATAACGTTACTGTTATTTACATGCCATGTTGTTCAAGGGAATGCATTTCAAAAGTCTGCTTTAACCAGACAAGACAGAAAAGAGTGGAGATTGGAGAATTTGAAAGAACAATTGCACATGACAAGACAGGAACTGGTTTCAGCTCTTGCTCTGATAGACTGACGAAAGAAAAATGTGACCAACAGTGCAAAATCTGTCACTATTTAAAGAGATCCCAAAAAATGAACAGGCAAAATATCTTTTTCCTGAGATCACGGTTTAGACTTCTTGTTTTCATTGCACAGAATGCCACTGCAGAAATAATTCCGCTTCTATTTCCTTCGTCACTCAAACAGCACATGCATGGCTTCATATGAAAGATTAATGTGCAAAACACTGGATAATTTAGAATGCTTGGAGTGGCTGGGAAGGAGAGCATGCTGGAAAACAGCCTCTTTTGTGAAAGAAGTTTGCCTTTGGGTAAAAAATTAATAAGCAGAGGGTTTTTTAGGTGGAGTATAAAATTTCAGCTACGACATTTCTGCTAGAAATCATTATTTTCAGTTTAGGCAGGCACATATGGGGTCCCATGTGCCAGGTCTGCTCCACCGGCTGGGTTACGTAGCCAGCTTGTGTTTGCCCCAGTCCCCGTCGACTCCATCCTCGGCAAAGCAGCAGGGCCGCACGCAGCGCCCGGCTGGCCAGCGCGGCCCGCAGGCAGAGCAGGGGCGCGAGGCAGGCCGGCAACAGCTCTCACAAGGCAGGAGCTTCCAGGCCCCATTTCTTCATGCCTAAGATTTTCACTTTTCAACCAAAACAGGTCTTTCTGGCATATGGGTGATTACTTGATTACTTCTTTCTTAATACTTAATATTGCTTTTTTTTTCAAAAAAAAAAAAATGTTCTAACAAAAGAATCTATTGAAATGAAAAGAATATATTTCTGATCCACAGATTTTTTTGCTAGAAATGTTGAAAGAGACCTGATGAAATTTCCCTTGATTTTATTACAGACAGAAATTGAAAAGGGTGCTTGATTTACAAGCTAAAGATGATCAGTTGTACATAAAGTAAATTTTAAAAATGCAGCAGGTATTGCATTAACCAGTATTATTATTAACCAGCTTTTCTGAGCTAATAAATCTCTACCAGTGACATTCTTGGACCTTGCTGTGGATAACCAAAAATGTCTACCCATGAAGAATATTTGCTGGCTTCCTTGGGACCCAAAGCACGACTCCTGTTCTTCTACAGTCACATGGATTTTATTGCCTCTGAATTTAAGGTGGTCATTCCTGTCCATTATTTTGCTGATATATGTATGCTGCACAGAAAGGCTTGCAATTGTATTCCTTTATTGAAAAAATAAAAAATAATCTGTAGCTTAAGATGACAGAACTGGTGATAACCTTTCTTTGCTGCAGGAAGACATCCAAACGTGTGACACGCAGCTGACAGAGAACTTTCCTGGAAAAGTACGTCCTAAACATGTGTCACGTTTCTAATTTTCTTTGGGCTGATTGGATAATCAGTTCGTCTTTGAGGTTGCACCTAGGGGAGAACAAAAGCAGTTACAGAACTAAAAAAAAAAAAAAATCCGGGAAAATAGGGCTGCAAGGGACCTCAGGAGGTTACCTGTCAACCCCTCACCTTAAAGCATTACACTAAAATTAATTCTATCATTAGCAACCCACTCAAAATCCAAATACAAAGAGGAACAGAAAAAAAAAAGAAAAGAAAAAGAAAATACTTATATAAGCTTCACATGCAACACATTAATGGCAATTCTGGGAGTTCATTAATTGGTTATATGCTGTCTGAGCACTGCTTGCTTACTCCGCAGTCAGTATTCCTTTAAGCAAAAAGCAATGTTGGATTTTCCTCCTCTTGTTTTCTTAAAAAATACCCTGCCTGATAAGCTATAATAAAAACTAAACATCTGATGTTGCCTTCTGAATTTACTAAGAACATCAACAAAAAGCATGCCAATATTCCATGCATCTCAAAGACAGTTTGCAATATCTCAATGTTTATTTAAAGCAGGCTTTTTTTTTTAAGTTACCATGATTAGCATGATCCGACTTGAACCCACAGCAAAGAGGATTTTAAAACTGACCTCAGTGAGATCAGATTAGGGCAAATGTCCAGCAGGTTTAAAACCTTACTCTCATTTGCATTCAGTGCAATGGATTTCCAGTCCTAATTACTCATGCATTTTTACAAAGGATAACTGCAGGGGAAAGAACAAAGAAAAATTTGTTTTCAGATGCATCCCAGAAACATATGCTCTGGATATTTAAACCAGGTAGTAAGACCTCATGTAGATAATTGCAAAGTAGCTCTAAGAAATGAGAATTACTTCCAAAGGTAAAATTCCATGTCTTTACATAGCTTCCTAAATGAGACATTAATGACAAAACACTTGCTGTGGCTGGCCCAAATGCTGATTTTTGTCTTCCTCCGTGTAGAGGCTACCTGCTGGCTACTGTGTTCCTAACAACTTCCCCACCTGGCCCAAGCCCTTTGATATTAACGGAAAACTCACCATCCTCCCCAGTGGAATTTTTTATCAACCCCAAGGTAAGATTTGGTTCCCAGCTATTGACCCAGCTTCCTGTATTTTGTTTCTCAAGCATTAATCACGTACAGTCTGTATTGCCTTGATATTCTTCCACTATTTAACGTCTTAAATAATGCATCTTAACATCTTAAATCATATTAACATCTTAAATATACATTATTGAATAAGCCATAGAGGAAAATGTTAGATGATACATGTGGACAATAATTCTCTGGTATTTAGTGAGTCCCAGCACCTCAAGGAAAACCATGGGATAAATATAACTATCCTAGGAACATTTCATAAGACAGCTGCCTTCTGTTTTAAACACTTCATTTTTCTTTCCTTGTTTTGTTGCTAAAATATACTACAGTTTTCTAAATTTACCCTTATTTACCATTTCTTTCAGCAGAGAGGAGTGGTGCTCTGGGAAGTAACAAGATTGCCTGTCTCTGCTCAATAAACCTTTTCCAAGACCTCTCTACTGCTCTTACTATCTTGCAGTTCAGAAATAACCCAAAGATCTTGCTGATGCTCAACAGAAGCACCCTACCACTCACTGGTTTTCAGAGCACATGGGACATCTCCATGGTCTGTGTTACCCAGGAGATTAATATCTGGTGAGATTAACTCCATTAATGAGAAACGATTGTCTTTTTTTACTGATCCTTCAAATACAAGTCAAGCTAAAGGGGAAAAAAATGGAAAAAGCTGAAGGCCAGTAGAAAGCCTGTGTTCCCACATACTCTGGACTGTCCGTTGAGTATAAACTATGCTGAACTGGATAAGATGCTGAGTAACCGTAGAGTTTTGGAGGGAGTTCAAGAACACTTCATTGAACACTCCCTCTGAAATTTCCTGACACACATAAATACTTGAATCTCGTGTTTAGCAAAATATTGGGGTAGGAATATTTCCTTGTTGCACAAAAATATTGTATTGCACACAGATTTACTGAAGGAAGAGGCCCCCAATAGAAAGTGCCTAAGAAGCAGTGTTTATGACCATTAATAGCCAATATTTGATCTGGGTTTGCATTCAGTTTTGAGTAAAGGGAGCTGGCGGACTCTCACACCAACTGGGTCTGGATCCCATCACTCTTCCCTACCTGACAATACCGCTTATAAGACAGGACAGCTTGTTTTGCCTTAAATATCTTGTCTGCAAGAAGAAGCCATCACAGTCCCAGCCCTGGGATGCCCCTTCTACTCACAACCAAAGGAGGAACTGAGCAGCACTTGCTCCTGTTGGTGGCCTGGAGTGCAGATTTTGCCCCTAATGGACCATGTTCACCTTGGCCCTGCATCTTTTATGGTTATTTGCCTGGGTTACTCATATTTTACTCTCACTGTGCTCTGATATCCGTTAATGAATAATTTCATGAATTTCAATCAATTCATGCTGTGTATTGGCCCATTTTCTGTGGAGATTTCTCTGAAGTAGCAGAGCCTCGCTGAGGTTGCAGTTAACTGGATGTAACCTCTGAAGTCAAGGCTGCTGCCTGCTAACTTAGTGACCTGGAATTAACCTTCTGATGCTACCAAAGTTCCCAGGTTCACACAGTTACAAATAGAAAATGCAGAGGAGTAGAACCACAGCAGCCATTTCATATTTAAACCACGATATGCTACTGCTGCCAGAGCCTCTTCTTGGTTTCGATATCAAAGTTGCTTCTTCAGATTAATACAGTGCTCTACTAGTCATTTTAGTCCTAATCTGAAAAAGCGGCTTCATTGAGAGAGGCAGTCAATGAGAGAGGGACTTCTGCTGTTATTAGAATGTTGTAGTCACTTTTGCATCCCGTATGACATCAGTGATATGGATGGTGAACACACATCTGGCTTTATGAAACAGGGTTTAAACTGATTTGACAGATGGCATCTCCTCAGACAGGAGGCTATGGAGATGTGTGATAAGCTGAAGGCTTTGCCTGCGATTACTCAACCAAAAAGTCCAGGGCTAACTGCAGTAAAACAAATTGCTGAAATTAATGTAGCAGTACTTCCAGATATGTCAGCATCATCACACATTTTGCTAACTGTTATAACAAAAAAATACATGGAAGCACAGACGAATTCTGTTTTGCAAAGTTATTTCCCCCCCATCCTTTTTCTCTCAATTTCGCACTACAAATTCATTTCATTGACAGGAAAACACCCACCCAAAAGCTCTGGATACCCTCAAACTCATTCAGAATGTGTCGTTGCTTCAAATAGTAAACCAGTTCCACCTATAAACTTCTGAAAAGATACAGCATATTTTCCTGTCTATCAATAGATACACAAACTTGCAATTCCTTTTCTTTACACACACATGATACACAGACAGAGAGGTTAATCCCACCTGCACAACTTTATTCTTCCCCTTTTTCCAGACACTTGAAAAAATATACTTCAGTCTGTAGAAAGGCACCTGCCTTTTCTGCATCTATATCAATATTTATTACTCTCTTATTGAAGATTTGCTGACCACTGACTATCATAACATGACATACTCTATAGTGCATTTCATTAGTAAGTGCAAAATTATTTGCTGTCATTGGTTTGTATTTCTATTTTATTGGCCTTTTAATTTGATTTTGATATCTTAATTTTTCTTTTCGAACAATCCACAAAGTCAGTACAGTTATATACAGTGCAATAAATGTAGCTACATTTCATCACTCATTTTCTCCCCAGTATAAAACCACAACCACAACCAAATAATATTTCCAGTTTATAGAGTGTCATTTAGAGTAGTTAAGAAGAAAAATAGATCTGTCCCCATTAGCAGAGCTATGACTCACTTTGGATTGAAGAGGAAGAGTGTGGCTGCAGTGGCAGATCCAAGCCTCATGTAGCTTTGCTAAAATCAGCTGCATTACACCAGGGATGAATCTGGCCTGCTACAAATGATCATACCATTTTAAGGAATGATAGTCTGATTTATCATAGAGACATTTATGGCATATTAAATGGACTAATTACTGGGCTTGTGTAGGAGACTGTCCAGTCCTGCAGGATGCTGAGCACTTAGAGCTCCTTTTGTACAAGCAGGACTTAAATTAAAAGGCAGTTCCTCACAGATAGTCCTTGGGATCAGGCAGAACTGGCCCTATGGCCTTTCCTTGGGCTTAGCTATGTGTAAGACTGAACCAAAATATGCTAGAGTCAGGAGAGGGATCACATTCACTGCACTCGGGTTTTGCACGGAGCTCCTCATAATGGGTCAGGGCATCTGAAACAGCCCCTGGATGGGACCTGAGTCCCTCACACCCATTTGGCCTGCAGTTCAATCCTGGGACTAGCAGCAAGGATTTCCACCCTGCCATCACTGATGGTAACAAAATATGCAATTAAGCAGAAGCTTGTAACTCTACTCTCTATTTGACCTTTTCTTGGCTAATGTAATGAGAGTGAAGACCTTCCAGCATTCCCTGACTGATGCTCCTGGCCTCCTCTTCCATTGGCTGGTAATTTTTTCCTCAGCTCAATAATTTAGTTCAATAGTCATCATTTTTAAATGTCTTGTTCTTCTTTTTGTTGTTGTTTTGCTGTTTTTTTCTCTCCTTCTGTCCTGGCTGAGGCATTAATTTTCCCTAAGGCGATTTGCCAGATCTTTTGTTCATGGTATGGATTGATTGGTGCAATTATGGAGCAACATTTATCTTCTGTGAATGTTTTGCATTAGTTTGTGATTCAGTGAGGTTCCATGGTGAATAGCTGACCTAAGTAGTTTCCTATTGTCCTCTTTCACAATGAGACCCAGCAGGTATCTCAGGGCTTTGTACCAGCTTGGATCAATGGGCGAGGACTTCTGAGGAAACAAAATCTTTGATATAAAACTTTCTTAATATTTCAAATCATTTAAGATTGTACCTTTTCACATGTGGAACAGAAGGTACCAAATTTGAAGGTGATATCCTCAGAGACTCAAGAGAGACTTCCTAATACCTGCAGCGCAGCCTGCTGTGCTTGCTAACCTTCTAGATGCTGAAACTTTCCATCCCTCTTTCTCCTGGGAGTGGAATATGTAGTGGGTATGTTCACCTCTGTCCAACCAAAATGCCATGTTGCAAAGTCTTCATTCACTTTGATTGCCTTTCTTTCCATTTTCTCCCCACACGCATGAGACTGTTCTAATTTTAAGATCCCCCATTTAAAAGTTGCTCCATTTGGACCTGTTTTCTGACATGTTGTTGTGGTTAATCCTTCTTGTTGATCCCATAAGTTGTCAAGGAATCCAAGCACAGAAATCTTAAATTCTTTCACCTTGCAGAAATGCACAGACTGGGATATAGGTCTTCAGTTTGTCTGACTCTTCCCAGGAGGAAGCTGGGTGCCTCATTCCCTCCCCACCATGCTGCTGCGGGAGGACCTTCACAATGAGTGAACCACTCCTCCACTCATTGTGAAGGTCCTCCCTTCACTCTGCCTCCCTGTAAGGTCTGTGGAGATGTTTGCTTATTTTTCCTGCTTATCCATGTAGAGAAAGGCAATTTGCTGAAGTCCACCCCTATATGACCTCCTTGATTGTGGAAAAAAAATCTTTGGATGATTCCTCTCCCTTTCCCCCCAGCAAACAGTTAATGGCTTGCCATCTGGTTTCTCCTACTTGACAGGAAATATATTTTCAGGAAAGAGCACCATGGTGTTTATTATGCAACTTATTGGCAACAGTGGTGACCAAATTTTATTAAAATGCACCCAGTAACACAACTCTTTGCCAGGAAACTTCCATTATGCAGTTACCTAAGAAAGCTATAAGAAAAACATTTTTTGTCTAGAAAATCTTTCACTATGTTTGTATATTATTCTGCAAACTTACATCACAGACTGCAAATCCGCAGCCTATTAAAGTAAATCTTTCTCAAGAAAAATTAGCAGTTCCCTTACCAGCTTCTGTATACACAAGACGGGGGCACCACATCACACTGAGAAGCCCTGTTCCATTTGAGACTAATTTCTCCTCACAAGCCATTTTTAAATTGCTAAATATTCCTCCAACATGCTGGAAAAATTATAAGCAATTTTCACTAGTAGATTATCTTTTGTTATTTTTAAAAACACGTGTACGTTGTTAATGATGCAGCTAGAAGCCACTTTATCAGACTTATCCAGAGACACCTGATTTAACAGAAATAGTTCAAGTATTTGCTGGGTCCCTCTGATGGGTTTCATCGTTTCCATAACCACCAGGCTGCAAGGATCCATCTAATCCATCTAATCCAGTATGTGACATGAAAGGCTGAGCCTACATTTGGGTTTCAGCTTGAACCAGGAGATGATTTGAACCCAGTTTCCTGATGCTCCCTTCTCACAACGCTTTGGATCTTGCTGCAGAGTCACCTGGCCCAAAGTGAGATCCATTTAAACCCCAAAGTGAGATCTGTTTAAAGGATCCGTTTCATATGAAACCAAACTGCACGAGGCCCTGCAGGAGCATGTCCAGCACACATCAACCACTAATGAGCACCTGATGGGAGCAAGGAGACTACAGCAAACTGAAGCTACCTGCTCTCCTTGAAATATGTTTGGCACGGATGCCTCATCCTCGACACCCACTGATTTGCTCCTCTGAGCTGATAACAACGTGCCACATTTCTTGTGCATGCAAGTGTAGCCAGTGCCAAAAGAACCTATCAAACTGGGTCTGAAACTGTTGTGCATGGTTAGGGAGTCACACCAGAATTGCCTGGTGATTGCAGGAGTGTTTGAACTCTCAGCTATTTTCTGCATGCTTTTCGCCTTTGTATTAATAGTACTGTGTTTAACAAGTAATTATTGTCAAACATAATAACTACCAGCCATAGATACATCAATCATGTTGCTATTATTCTTACAGTTATTATTTGGATTGTTATTTTAATCATTGGTGGAATATTTTCTAAATTTCTTTGTGTGCCAAAAGAACTAGACACACTCTGCAATGATTTAAATGCAGTGTCATCACAAGGCAGGTCTCTGCACTGTATTTACTGAAAGAGCTCTTCAAAAATAAATGAGATATTGCTGTGTTGAGCTAGAGAACTCTGTGCCACTTTGTTGCTACTTTCCCAAGGGAATATTGGGCAAAAACCATCACAGAGATGCTAAAACAAATATATGGTATAAATTAAGATCCACATTGCTGTTGTCCTAGAAGCTATGCCCAATGCCACGCTTCAGAATGGAGATAGCTGAGAATACAGCAATCTGAGAAAGAAATGTTAAACTCTGCTTCTCTGTGCTTTAGTCATGTGGAAAGGGGAGAAAACTCTAGAGTGGGTTTTTGTGCTTTCCCTTCCATCATCTACCATTGAGATACCAAAGGTAGTTGTGAAGATCCTGACTGAAGGCGCTTCTATAAAGCAGAAGTGCAATTTGAGGATACAGTCATGAAATGATCCAGGGAAAATGCACATTTGTTTACTGTGTTTGCAGCAAATGTGCACTGGATTACTGTGGTTGCCAAGAAAGCTCACGTCCCACCTTGAGCAGTGCCTCCATATCATTCCTACATCTCCACTCCAGTAACTGAGGAAGACAGCAGAAACATTGCAGCTCCACTGTGCTGAAGGCCGCTACATAGCAACTGCCCAGAATCATTACACCTCCTTGTTGCTGCCTCCAGATTTATAATGGGTTTGGAATGCTGAAAGGATCGTTCCACTTGCCCAATTAGACCTGTAATTGTCTTTTAAAAGTCTACATGCACCCCAAATCTATGTTTAAAATGTGTGTATAGTATGATGCACACTGAGGTTGGCACACTGTGTGAAAAATATCAAGATCTCCACATTACAGTTACCTTTGATGCAGAACTGGCATATGAATCTGAATCAGGGACAGTAAACTTGGAAGACATTGGGGGAAGAGAGACAATTCCTGTAACAAGAATATAGAAGATTAACCTTACTCAGTGTCTACCATGATGTGAACTATAAGCCATTAAGCAACTACATTAAATAAATTTAACTTAATTTAATTTAATGCTAGAAATGCCTTGTGAGCTTAGTTGTGTCTAATGAATAGGCAAAAAAAAACCATCTAGGACCAGTAGAACCAATTTATCCATTTTTATTTTAGTTTTCTTTAACTGTGTTAAGCTTTACAAATAGCCCACGCTTTTGAAATATTTCCACTGCACTTATTTCATCACAATTCATTTGTTAGAGAGAAAGGGGTGTGAGCCTTTATTATAGACTCTGCACAATAATTTTATGCCATAAAGTGTTTGATTTAATGCTTTGATAATAATGTGGTTACACATGCAAGTGGTGAGCCAAGACTTGTTGGAGATTTACATTTGCTATAGGACAAGCCTTGTGCTTAAGGACTAGAATTTATAATGGCTTAGTAATTTATCAGTAAAATCATAAGTCACTAATTTATTTTTTTAAATGCACTCAGCAATAACTAGGAAAGTACTGCAAAGGACAGTTGCTGAGCCTTGCTCTCCCATGGAAAAAATAAGCTGCTTAAAAACCGGGCCTTTTTCCCACCCTTGCCCCTCTAGTTACTTGCATGTTCTGCCCCTTCACTGCTTGCAGTCAGTATGCAGTTCATCACCAGTGTTGAAGAGAATTCATAAGACTCATTGCTGTAAATGTAAGCCCAGTTTCTTAAAGAAATGAAGAATATCTGCTTAAGCTCAATGTGGGTGTGCATCTCTGCCTACTTCAGTAACATTTGGACTTGTTGGACAGTTTCAGAAAGTTTGATGCATTCAAAATGTTTCATGACAACGGGTGAGACTTTGGAAATCAGGCTTCATTGCTTCTATTTTTCATGGAATTGCTTGGATTGGAGGCAAAGAGAAGGAAGCTGTGCACAAAGACCTCCTTTCTCAGTTAATTGTCATGTTCTGGGATGACTGTTGGAGACAATATTCAATGACATTCAGCAAAACACATGGGTTCAGTTATTCACATCGATGGCTATATCTTTCCCCAGAATATGCAATTAATCTCTGAGATGGATAAGCTTGAACCTTTCACAGATTCAGCTAAAGCAGCTGGAGTTTGAGATGCAGCACAAGTCCCAGGAGTTAATCAAAGTAAAAGAACTTCTTTAGAAGTGCATGTATGTGTTTCCTGTGGACTCTTTTGCTTTTTTTTTTTCCAGTCCAGCTGCAAAATGCTACCTAAATAGCCCTTCATCTACTATCCAATACTCTCGTCTCTGGCCCTAGAGGGAATTTGGAAGAACAAAGGCATTAAAAAAGAAAAAAAAAAAGAGAACAAAAAAGGAAAAAAAAATTAACACTAAATTCAACTGCAAAGATCTTTGAAGTTTTGAAGTTTTCTCAGTAGTTTTATAAGACCATGTTGTAAAAGATCCAAAATTTTCTGAAGAGGTTAAAGCTGAGTATGAGTCCACCACAAGCTGCTGTCAAATCTCATAATTTAATTTCCTTGACTTATTGTCTATAACACTTGTGTCGAGCAGCAGTTCAATGCTATGTGATTAGACTTACTTGGGATGTGTTCTGTGTATGTTGGTTCCTCTGGAATATATCCATGGTTTTCACCACCGTCTCTTTGGCTGTTTTGCAAATGGCCACTATTTTTCTTCTTAGCTGATGCTTTTCTAGGAATAAAAGTATCTATCATTAGAACTTAATTATAGAAGAACTCTTGAGTAACAACAAAGAAAAGGCTCTATCAGCTAGCAGAAAAATAATAGGATAAAGAATTGAAATTGCTAAGATTTGCTGAGATTTGAAATTTCTGGTCCAGATCATATGTTTTGTAGGAAGTGAATTTTAATCTTGGATTCTGAATTATGGGATAGTCCTGTAATAGTCCTGCAATGTGGCCCACTAAGGGAACAGCAGACAGGTTGCCTGCAATAACCCATCATCTTTGTGATTTTAACTCCCACAATTGCAAAACAAACCATACTATCTCACACCACCACAGTTCACTCCCAACCAATTTATCTTTACACTCAGAAGTTAATCTTTTACTTGGAATTTTTCTTTACACATGAATATAGTCACAGTGAGGTTAATAGCACTTCTTTGGGTAAAGCTACATTCTCTGGCTTTGCAGAAGTGACCTGCATAACTAGACACTAAGAAAAAAGGTGTATTTGTTACTCATGGCAGTTATTCTGCAAAAGATGTTTTGATTCATTTGTCCCTAGCACAAACTCCTCCCTGGTAAACTCCTCCCCAGATCTGTCTTTACCTAAGTTTTTGGGGTGGCAAGAACAAACTGATGGCAGGATTGTGGCAGTGCAGGGACTTGTAGGTGAATGATGAAATATTTTTGGCTACCAATATTTGTGGAAACTGCTGGATTTATTTTTTATATTTAGCATAAATATGCATAAATCTTCAGATGGGCATCATTGAGGCACATATAAATATGATGGGCCAGCTACAATAACTTTTTTTTTTTGAAATAAACAAGTTAAATAACACTAAGAAATCTGTCGATGTTGTTGAAAGATAAGACCAATTGTTTAGTGGTACCACCTCTGCATCTTAGATGATACTGTCTATTTTCTCTGATTCTTAGATTTCAACAAACTCAGGATGGTACCCAAACCCAAAGGAGTTACAGAAACATGCTGGAGGCACCAACAGCAGGTTAGACAAGTTAAAGATAAATGTGGTGTGGAGTGAAACAATACATCTTTTGTCTCACTTCTTTCTCTTAGTACAAGCTGGCATCTGAAATCCAGAGAACCTTCATTGTTTCTTTTGTCTTCAGAAAGGGTCCCTACACCCCACCGCGAAAACGCGCTATACCTGTAAGACCTGGAGGTGACCATAAATAGTGACCATGATTTCAGCAGCATTATGCACACATGCTAAAACTTGGCCGAACAGTCAAAGCTGAGCTCAACACTGAGTTCCTGAGTGCAATCTAAACCCTAGAGCCTGGACTTGTCACAGGGCTTTAGCATTTGCTTAGCCCTAAGAGTGCAAGCGACCTTTCTGAAGGGAGCATCCAAATGCCTTCAGGTAGACCCTCCTATTGATATTGCTACAGTCGGTAGCTAGAAAGAAAGAAAGACTAGAAAAAACAGCACCACAAGCACCACATAATGAATACGATCTTAATACTGATGGCGGCGGAGTCCTTTTTTTTCACATGTCCCTGCCAGCAGCAATGTACAGACAGTTTTCCTTGCAAGCAAGGCTGACGCTCACGTGACGTTTTGATTTTTTTTTTCCTTTTTCTTTTCTTTTTTTTCTTTTCGTTGCTGTTGTTGCTGCACTTCGGGGTTTTTGCGCGTTCGCTCGGGCCGGGGGACGCTCCGGGGCAGCCGCTGTCTCACAGTGACCCCCTGTGGGCACCGCTGCGAACACCGGCGCCAGGAAAAGCCCACGGAGAGCCGGGTTTTCGGGATTCGCCTTGCCCAGCACGCTCGGAGCGGAGGAGGGAGCGCTTGTCCCCTCCCCGGCTGGCTGCAGACCTTGGCTCAAGGTCTGCAAGGTCTGCTTGTCCCAAGCTGCATGCCAAGATGTGCCGAGCTGCACGGCAGCGCTGCCCCAGCCATCAGCACCGCGGAGCTGGTGGAAGCTGCCTGAAACAGTCTAGCCAAAAGGAAAAAATATATATATCCCACCTTATTCAACCTACCTTATCTCATTTTGATAGGTGGAGCCTGTAAAAATGAAAAGACTCGGCTTAAAATGCAGGAAAATTAAACATGCCCTATTAGAAAGCTCCTCTAAGACTGCACATTATGTCGCATTTAGCACAGGAGCATCTCTTCTCCCTGCTCACAAAATTGTGTGATATCCCTTTACAAGCATTTATACACAGAAATTAGGAAAATACCGGACAAATACAGCACTGAATTTATGCTTTAACAAAGAACCTCAGAAGAGGCACTAAGTGTCACTGAAAATTAAGGCGCTTCTGAAAAATAATATCCTGTTGTAGCTAATATGGATGGCAAACCTGTTGGGCCACGGATCACTTTAAAGCAAGTTATATGAAAAACAGCAAGGCAAAAATAAGAAGCTTCTTTTTAGGTCTCTGGTCAACAGCATAATCTATCTGCTCACACTTTCACTCACAGGTTTTGAACCACACCAGCACTGACTTAGCAATAGATTTATGTCTATTTTGTTTATTTTATTTTATTTTATTTTATTTTATTTTATTTTATTTTATTTTATTTTATTTTATATTTTTAATGCACAGAGCAGCTATGAAGATCCACTTACCTTTCTTCTTTTGGCAGAAGCAGCGTACGACAATCCCAATAATAAAGACCAGAAGAATAAAACCAATAATTGAGAATATGACTGCAAGTACAATGATCCATGTACTTGTTTTGTTTTCACCGTAATCACTTTCTGTTAAATTAAATGGAGAAACATTGTAGTGTCAGAACCTAGATACATCCTTTTTCAGAATATTTGCCTCTTCTGTGAGAAGCTTTTAGCTGCTTGCTATTACTTAACAAGGAGGTTGTGCTCTTCCAAATCACCAGGTTCTATATAGATGGATGGTGCCCAAGAATTTAAAATGTTTCCGAATGCTAATTCTTTATTGCAATTGTAACCTTCCCCATAGTTACTACTCTTTCTTTCAGAAATACACATTTTCCTACCTAATCTTCATTTTGTAGATGTTCTGAATCTCCCAGTATACTTTAGAGACTTTGGGGATTGGGAAGAGGGGGTTAAGACTTCGTTTAGATGTTTATCCTGTATATGTTTATCCTATGCTGTGCTATCTCTGTTTATATTACATCTCTGTATATATTAAGCATTTTGCCTAGTTGTTCCAGTCCATGGAGAAAAAATGGTTCTGTGAATTACGAATCACTTGGCCAGATGTGTATGTCTGTCTCCCCGTGGACAAGTTGACCAGCTCTCAAGAAGTGTTTGTTTCTTCCCACTGGCCACAGTGACAGCCTTAGGGCAGATGGAGATCTCTATCTGAGATGTGGTCATCTGACGAACCTCAGACTGAGATTTCTCACTGATTTCAGCAGGTTTTGATTTTGAGATATACTCTATAGGTCATCTGTTATCCACTGTAAAGAGCAGTGAAGAGAAAAAACTGTAGAGTAGCATAGTCTTGGGGTTTGCAGCTACTAAACCCTCTTCACTCCTGATGTCTTCACTACATTAAGTATTCCTGACTTTGCTGTAATCTACAGTGTGAGGTGGTTTCAAAGTAACTCAATGTCTCGCTGAAACTGGTTGCTATGAACAAACGGTTTTGCTAACAGAGCTGCCACATACACTGATTTTAAAAAAATGCCCTATATGCCTTATGCAGCTGGTTGCATAAAGAAAATGTCGGTTTTGACTGTCATGTCCTCCTGCCCACGGGTTTTGACCAAATATTTCAGGAGCCCTTCTAACTTGGCTGCCCTTTGAAAAGCTGCCCCCAGATCATTTTGGCAGTTTTTTAGGAACAACTTTCCAATCTGAACTTCAGGTGTGAGACAGATACAAACTTGACAAGGCCCATTCTGTCGCTCTGCTATGCACGTCACATCGTCGCTGAGGTCTCAATTAGAAACTGTATGGCAACATCCACCTGACAGCCTCTAGGAGAGGTAGAGCAGCAGCAAAGATGATTAGTAGCTGCACAGCGTCACAGCTATTCCCCTGGTGTGTGACCCTGAAAATCTCCTGCTAAACTAACAGCAGGGGAGAGGGAAGTAAATCCATTCTAGCTACAGATTCACACGGTTTTATATGCTTGGGGTTGGGACGCATTGGACTCCAGAGATACAGGACTCGTGTTAGGATTCTGAATTCTCCCAACCTCAGGTCATGATGATTTAGCAATTTATTCCATTCTTTTCTCTAATTCTAACACACGATCAGCAGATTTAAGATTTATTGTGACAGGGAAAACAAGCATTCAATAACCTACAAACCAGTAGTTAATTCTGTAGGCTATAATCAGTTGTGATTAGAATTGACTAAAAATTTGCTCATAACATTTTCATCCAGAAGCATTGCAACATGTACCTATAGTATATATTATGTGTTGTTCTATAACGCATGTCACAGGGATTTCAAGGTAGTTAAAATATTAAAAATGTAGCTATCTATCTTAGCTATAGTTTAGTCCCAGTATGAAGGAAGAAGTCAATTGCTCCTTTTGTGTTAGATCATATCTCCAAGGTGGCTTCCAGACCAAGGTATTTTGCTCCCCATCAGGCTGAGGTTACCTGCCAAAAGCTGCTCTACAAAACAGAAGCAAGAGGGACAGGATGCAACACAAGTATTCCCAGGCTCTTCTACACTGAAATTTCCCCCCAAATCTGGGATATCCAGAAAGAAAATGGAGACATGACCAGTCAGTCACATGGAGATGTGATCAGAAGATATGAATGCATCGGTCACCATCAGTTAGCGGCTGTGGAAGAAGGCCCAGAAGTTTTTTTGTAACAATGCTTGTGAATGGACAAGGGCTGCTTGTGAGGAATATGGAGGAGAAGTGAACTACACAATTGCTCAAACCTTTAAGAGAGGCCTGAAATCAATATTATCATAGTTTGGGGAAAGATACCTTTGATGTTTCGAAACTAGCCCTCCTCATTCCCGACAACATCTATATAAGAGTGAGTCTGTATATGAAAAGTCAGGGAAATTCTGAGATTTAAAATTTGATATATATTAGATATCTTTCTCTGTTGTAAATGTCGCATCTTTATTTCATTCTCATAGTTGAGAAATTTCCTTTTTTCCTATCCTGTCAAATTTTGAGTGTCTGCTGCTGCATAATGATTTTTCCAAAGAGAAATGAATGATGGTCCGATACAATCACTAATTATATGCTAATTGTGCTTCATGACATCTGTTTTTCTTCTCTTCTGATTTACAGTGAGTAGCTATGGAAACTGAGGGTAGATACCTCTGTAGTTCACAAATGAGTAGGCAGGAGAATTCATTAATTTCTTCAGGATAGCTCTATTTTGCTTAGTCAGTAATTAGGAGCATTTTCACTACAGAAAAGGCTGTATTAAAAATGATGAAATTACCTTTTTCAATTGCATTACAAAGCAAGTAGTTCTGAAAGGACTTAGTAATAATGACTCATATGTAAAATAAAAGGCCCAGTTACTCAACCTCTTTGGTTGTTTATGTGTAGAAACTTCTATACCATACTGATCATCAATCTACTATAGTAATGTCTACGTACATTGTGTATTACGTACATTGTGTATTATTCCCATTACAACCTCTTTGGTTGTTTATGTGTAGAAACTTCTATACCGTACTGATCATCAATCTACTATAGGAATGTCTACGTACATTGTGTATTATTCCCATTACAGAACAAGAATCAATTCACCAAGAAAACCTGTCAGCATGATTATTGAAGTTCTCAGTGCTCAACAGTTCAAAAAAAAAAGGAGGAAAAAAAAAAAAAAAAGAAAGGAGAGTAGATTTAAGGTATTACTCTGTACAGAAGATACCTGGAGAGCCACTGTAAAATCTTCCATATAACATATAAATTTTCCATATCACAGGGTATGGCTAATAAGAAGGATGTCGTTAGAGAATGGGCTGTGCTACCCTAGCTAGCAGTGTACTCAAAACCACCATCTCTGCTCCTGAAACAGGGTCCTGACCATATGATCTCTGATGCAAGCTCAGAGATCCCCTGTCTTGAGACTCCTCTGTATGAGTGAGAGTCTTGGCCAGTTCCATCATAGAAAATCTTCAAAGAACAAGGTGGTACCATCTCCTCATCTGCATTAAACATAACCCACAAAGGTGATGAAAAAGGCAAATATTTATGGGTCAGGGTCAACAGGAAGGCCAACAAGGCTGATATTCTGGTGGGAGTCTGCTAGAGACCACTCAACTGGGATGAAGAGACAGACGAGACATTCTACAAGCAGCTGGCAGAAGTCTCATGATTGGCAGCCCTTGTTCGCATGGGGGACTTCAACCTACCAGATGTTTGTCGGAAATACAGCACAGCAGATAGGAAACAATCTAGGAAGTTTGTAGAGTGCATGGAAGATAACTTCCTATCACAGCTAGTAAGTGAGCCTACCAGGGGACAAGCCTCGCTGGATCTGCTGTTTGCCAGTAGAGAAGGGCTGGTGGCAATGTGGTGGTCCAAGGCTGTCTTGGGCATAGTGACCATGAAATGATAGAGTTTTCAATTCCCGGTAAAGTCAGGAGAGGTGTCAGCTACATTGCAAAACAGCTACATTGGACTTCCAGAGGGTGGCCTGTTTAGGACAGTGGTTGGGGCAGTCCCTTGGAAGACAGTCCTGAAGAGCAAGGGAGTCCAGGAAGGCTGGACTTTTCTTAAGAAGGTAATCTTGAAGGTGCAGGAGGAGGCTGTCCCTGTGTGCCTTAAGACAAGATGGAGGGGAAGAAGACCAGCCTGGCTGAATAGGCAACTATTGCTTGGAAAATTACCACCTTTGGAAGAAGGGGCAGATGACTCAGGAAGAGTACAAGGAAGTCACTAGGGTATGTAGGGAGGAAGTTAGAAAGGCAAAAGCTCAGATTGAACTCTATCTGGCCAGCACTGTCAAAGACAACAAAAAATATTTCTACAATTACATTAACAGGAAGAGGAGGGCTAAGGAGACTCTCCAGCCTTTACTGTTTGCTGCAGGAAACATTGTCACCAAGGATGAGGATAAGGCTGAGGGACTTAATGCCTTCTTTGCCTCAGTCTTTAACACCCAGATCAGTTATCCTCAAGGTACTTGGCCCTCTGAGCTTGAAGACACCTATAGAGTGCAGAAGAAACCACCCATAATCCAGGAGGAAACACTGAGTGACCTGTTACTACTCCACTTGGACACCCACAGGTCTGTGGGGCCAGATGGGATCCACTCGAGGGTTCTGAGGGAGCTGACCTTTGAGTTGGGTCCAGTCCCCTCTAATATCTTTATTGACAATCTGGATGAAGGAATTGAGTGTGCCCTCAGCAAATTTGCAGATGACACCAAGCTGGGAGGAAGAGTTGATCTGATTGAGAGTAGGAAGGCTCTACAGAGGGATCTGGACAGGCTGGATCAATGGGCTGAGACCGGCTGTGTGAAGTTCAATAATGCCAAGTGCTGGGTCCTGCACTTCAGTCACTGCAACCCTACAGGGGTGGGGTAGGGTGGCTGGAGAGCTGTGTGGCAGAAAAGCATCTGGGGCTGTTGCTCAACAGCCGTATGAACAAGAGACAGAAGTGGGCCCAGGGGGCCAAGAAGGCCAACTGCATCGTGGCTTGTACCAGGAACAGTGTAGCCAGCAGGCCCAGGGAAGGGATCATCTCCCTGCACTCAGCTCTTGTGAGGCCGCACCTTGAATCCTGGGTTCAGTTTTGGGCCCCTCAATACAAGAAAGACATGGAGGTACTGGAGCTTGTCCAAAGGAGGGCAATAAAGCTGGTGAAGAGGCTGAAGCACAGACCTTACGAGGAACAGCTGAGGGGACTGGAGTTGATATGTCTGGAGAAGAGAAGGCTCAGGGGAGACCTTATCACTCTCTACAACTACCTGAAAGGAGGCTATAGTGAGGCGGGGGTCAGTCTCTTCTCCAGAATAACCACGGATAGGACAAGAGGAAATGGCCTCATGTTACTCCAGGGGAGGTTCAGGTTAGACATTAGGAAGAATTTCTACATGGAA